GTGGAAGCGATTCGCCATTAAAGAAAAGAAGAAGAAGAAGAAGCAGAAGCAGAAGAAGAAGAAGAAGAAGAAGAAGAAGAACCACTGGACCTCCCTTACCGAAAGGAGAGGAGAAAATGCTGCCCCACAATGCCTTGCAGCCGCAGCATTTGCGTCACACAACAGTCGGCCGTTCACGGAAACAAACGACTATGACGGAGANATTTATATATATATGTATTTATTTAATTATTGATGTATTTATTTATTTATTTAATTTTGGCTTAAATGGCATTCCATATGCAGCCGCAGCATTTGCGTCACACAACAGTCGGCCGTTCACGGAAACAAACGATTATGACGGAGAAATTATATCATGAAAGTTACGGTGCTTATTAAGCATTTTAAAACGTATGTGGTAAGTTGCCAAAGTGCTTTGTTTTGAACGTTCATCAGTATTATAATCAAAAAGAGAAATATGAACGTTAGTTTTTACTGAAATGATCAAATAAAGTCAACATTTCACTGAGCTGTGTGGGGTTTGTTCAACTTTTTTAAAAGATGTTTGAATGGTGATGTACACAGTGATAGATGTTAAGGACTAACGTTTATAATAAATACATTTGTATTTATTTTAAGATATTTTCATACAATCATACGTATTGGGATCATTTGTATTATTGTCCACTATCCCTTAACCCCGTGACGTTTCACTCAGAGGTCAAGGAATAGGAGATAGGGTTAGAATTTAGGAGCTGATTTTTGGATTATCGGAACGCAACCGAGTAGTCGAGGAGGGGATATTTGAGTATTGAGAAACCTCTCATCTTACCAAAATCATGTCCTCATAGCTCAGGAAGAGGATGTCGTACTGGTCTCTTTTTAAATGCCACTCCCTGATGTGGTCAAACCAGGAAGATGCTCCCACTGTAAAATGGAGATGTATTTTAGATTCTAATATAGCAAGAAAGTCATTAAAAAACATTGTTTAGTATGAAATGAAAAAGTATTTAATTGAAAAATGTAATGTAAATAGTCACAATATAATATGCCATGAAAAAACTAAAAGATAGCTCATTAAAAAAGGTATAGTAAAGTTTAGTGAATTAATTTATTGTATGAACATGTTATAAAATGTCATTATACTGTATAGTATTCCATTAAAATGTTATCAATATGTTAAAGGGATTGTATTCAAGGTTTCCAAACCATTAAAAGCAGTTGTTAAATATGTCACAAATGTATATAAATTGTCACGATTCTTGTGTTGTGTCACGTTTTTAGTTTTGTGTGTCTGGTAGTGGGTGTTTTGCTTTTCTCCTTGTCATGTGTTCCTCCCTGTGTATTGTCTTGTCTTTTTTCCCTTTGTATTGTCTGGTCTTTTTTCCTGTGTTTTCCTGTCTGTCGTTAGTTTCCCTGGTGTGTCTAATTTCCTGATTGTTTCACCTGTCACCCCTTCTGTGTCTCCTGTGCTAATCAGCATCAGTACCGCCCGTGATTATTCCCACCTGTGTCTTGTTACCGTGTGTTTAAATTCCCCTGTCTCCCAGTGTTCAGTGTCAGTTCGTTTTGTCTCTTGGCTATTATATAATATTTAATTTCTCTTAGAATTGTATGTTTTAACATTTTGATTAAAATATCATCATAGTATAGTTTGTCTGCAAGCAAGACTTCTGTGTCTGCAGGTATTGTCAACATAATCTTAACAAGTGAAAACATATAAATCTTTTTTTTAATTTAAGATTAAGGGTTCTTTCCAATCTTTCTCTCAAATTGTCATGATCACATGGTTTAAATTAGCATTTATCAGCCCGGGTCCCTTTCTGTACATCATCTTCCAGCTTCTGATGTGGAGGTTTCTTACCGTTGCCCGTCAGATACTGCTCAAAGAAGTCCTCAAAGCTTTTGGGAGTCTCCAGGTCGCTACAGTTAAGACAGAAGTGGTAATAAGAGACAATGTTGTCCTTTGGATTCCGCATCACGTAGATAATCTGACAATAAACAAAACATGAATCAGTCCAGAATAAAACGACTATGTACTATTGTCCCCTCCTGATCTAACTCCATTGAAAAGATGCATGATTAAGTGATACCTTGGATTTTTGAATTAATCGAAAAGGAAAATGTTCGAGCATCCTTATTCTGAGATATATTTCAGAAAATATCTAGAATCTTTTTCCGGAACAAGTTTTTTCAGATTCATTTTATAACATTTTGTCTATGTATCTTGCAAACTTTTTAGAAATATTTGATTACACTCTAATTTATTGTTCTGTCACTGAGTATACTAACTTAAGACAATGCAGTTCAGCATTTAGACAAAAGTGGAATTACTCCCTTACATAACATGACCTGTACTACGTTGCTGTATTTTTATGTCGGCCCTTATCAAACAGTTGGTGGCTGTTTATACTGACCTTGGATTTTTTTTTTCAAATGTTCTCTATTAATACCTAGGATTGTTTTATAAATGAGGTCCTTACCACAATCTTTTCAAATAATAAAAAGGTTATACTCATTTATTATTGTTTCGGCCCTCCATAAAATGCTGACCTTTGCCTTCTTGTCCTTTAGTCCTGGAGGTAAGAGAGTCGTGGTGAGGTGAGAGGCAAAGAGTCGTGGAGAGGGTCGAAGAGCGTAATCCTCTCTAGACTCCCTGTACTCCAGCCAGGGCATCTGCTCCAAGTTGTTTTGATATTTGTTCAGACCTCCTTCTAAGTCGCAGATAGAGATGATGATCTGTTGAGTCCATATAGTACCTGAAGTGGGGGGCATCACACCTGATCAGTAAATCTGTTCCCAGAAATGCATACAACTGTAAATGCAAAATATGTCATGAAGAGTTCCTCTCACTCACCTGACTTTGGATAAGTGACGAGGAATATGTCACTATCTCTTATTTCAAAGCTCTGGAGGGAATCAATGTACTCTGGAGTTGTGAAATTGACGGCGAAGTTATAGTTTTTATACCTGCAGAGATAGTCTGTGATCTGCTCCATGTTACTTCTGAATCACTCAGAACATTGAGAGAAATGCTAGAGATCAGAGTAGAGCAAAGAAAAGAGTAGCTCTCAGGTTGATTAGCGGGACTCTGGACTTTGATTCGTGCATGTTATAGGCTGTTGACTTCTTCCTGTATGAGCCTTGATTACGGACGGCTTGGTGCACACTACCACCAACTGTAAACTTCAAATATAACACACTGTTGAAGGTTAATATAAAAAAACCTGGAGTCATAATCTGTGAATAAACTTAGCATGTTTTATGTTTAGTAGCATAATTGTGTTTATATATTATGTAGAGGCAAGCTTATGTATTTAAGTCATACCTTATTTTTAAAGATAATTGTACAAAACTACAGCTGTTAATAATATTTAATAAGATTACTTTTCATATTTTCAATGATTCATAGGCCTATAAATTGTCAATTTTAAAAGAAAAACCCAGCAATAGGTTGTAATTTGTACATTTCTGTGTCACTTTAAAGCACTGTAATAACATACTCACAACTAGACTATAAAATGAATATAAAGTCTGCAACATTTTAACCAAACCTCAACTCCAGAGGGTTAGAGAGGGAGACAATGAAGTTAGATTATTATAAATATACGCATAACTGTGCAACTTTCGATCTAGTAAACACTGACTAACTAATTTAATTTGTAGTTAAGACTATACGAACGTGACGTGTCCACTGCCTTCTCTAAGAGAAACTTAGTGGGGTCGAAACAATCGTTATCAATATACAAAACATATAAAACTCATGTTTAGCTTGACTATAACAGCATGTTGATGCATTGAGTTTGATGACTGTGATTGTAATATTTTAACCTACAGTCTATGATTTTAACCAGTCTAACGTCACCTGCTAGAAATGTTAAAGCTAGCGTTAACGGAGATACACTAACACTTCCGGTGAACACATTCAAAATAAATGACTTTATCCATTTGTATTTGTTGTTGTTTTGATATTTTGATATTAGTATCATTTTAATATTTACATGTTAAGGTAATCATTTGAATGCAACTTAACTCAAAACAGAACAATTCAAGGAAGATGTATTTTTTTTGTAACAATTCCCTTTCTGTTTACATCATAGTTAATGACGTAGGTGTAAATCCGTTCTAGCGGATGTTGACTCGGAGCTGCAAACGTCAAGCAACTTCAGCAACGACCGCGGGTGACAGGCAGAGTCTCTCTAAAGCAGGTAATTTGTCTTTCAGCACCATGACAGCTGCATCATTTCGGTCACGACCAGATATTATGTTTCATAACGCGACAGCCGTTTAGCTTTTTAACGGGCATGTTTCGGGGCGGTCAGTCAGTTGTTGCAGTCTAGAATGGCGACGCTAGCTGGCTAACGACGGCTAGCCAACATGTTTTCTCAGACTGAACAAGCACACCCTTGTTGTCTTCCAAATTACCAGTTGAGAACAAACAAACGCTCGCTGTCAGTCTTTTTTCTCGCCCTATTTTTAAAAGCCGGGTTAGACAAATGGCCTAAAACGTGTCTTTAAGCCAACACTAGTGATGCGAACACCACTGCGCTTATCTGCGTTACGTTAGCCATGTTAACGTTAATGATAATGCGAGGTGTTTGCACTAGATACACGGCCCCACTCAAGTTTACATTCATGCTGTTTACAGCTAGCCCCCGTTACGTCACTAAATTATTCATGGTTAGTTGTGCAAGTAGCTTTGAGCTGGATTATCTTGGGAAGGATTAAAACAAACATCAGCTAGCTAACGTTAGCTAGTAGGTTAGTTTAGAAGCATTGGCGTTAATTTATGAGAAATGACTCCCAGCACATTTTAATAAGGGTTAATTTATTGTCCTACAAAACGGTAGCTTCATAAAGTCTTGTGATTGCAATGGTGTTCCTCTTTTTGGTTTCTCTAGGCTGGTTATTTCCAGAGCCCAGGAGGCAGCTCTGCAGTCTTGGGCTCTGGCCCATTTGTTAGAGGACTTTGGTCATTTCTGAAATGATTGAGATTTGAATGATAGATACTTCAATCTCTCTGAGAGAACACTGTTGAGTGATAAATGCCCTTGCAATTATCCTCCAAACAATGATTCACCAGCTTTTGCTTCTCTCTATTCTCTCTATTATTGCGCCAGAAATGACGCCACTGTGTATTGAAGTGATCAACTTTAGTAGTAAGCAGTTATTGGTTTATTAGATATGTTTTAGTAACACAACAATACCATAATCAGCTGAAGAAAAAACATGTTCTTCAAGAATACAGTCATGGAGAAAATAAAAAGAAACGATTTTTATCATAGCCAAAGAAGTGACTTTGAATGACATCTATCCATCTCATCACTTCTTATTTAATTGCATTAGCAATTTATGTAGCTTTTTTTGGAGTGATATTTTTACATAAGATATTTTTTGTGTTTCAGTGTCAACCTGTACATTTTCAGGAAATGTTATGCAAATTAAAGCTGGAGGACTTACGAAGGAAGAAAACATGGATTTTGTGCTAAATAACTTGTTTTCTTTGGAGAAAACAGTTCATTTACAGATGAAATATTTGAATGTTAAGGCCCATATAGAAGCACTCAGATGTTGGGCAACGCAGCCTCTTTTGTGACATTGTTATTGTTATTAATGCAATTTTTACATTGTTGTCATATTACAGGTCCAAGCGCATTTGCCAGATTCCTCAGGCGGGATCTTTCTTTTGGTAGCAGGTAATGATCTTTTCCCTTATTAGCAGCAATAATAAACCACAGAAAAGCAGCAACATTCAGTCTGAATGAAAGTGATAGTGATTTTTCACAAAGGTAGTATTTATTTCAGGCCTGTTGTTCTTGACTGTACGCAGGTGCTATTCTGTAATTCTACTTTTACAGTTTACACACAAACTGTAACTGTGTTACAATCTACACTTTCCCGTTTGGCTATTTGAAAAAGGAAATGACTTGCGTCACTAACCATGGAGAAACTGAAAGAGCCCCTTCCTGTTTCCCTCACTTACACATGTTCTCCCCCAGTACATGCAGTTTCACAATGCTCTGTTATGTAATGTTCAGATGTACCTGTAGCTCTCTACAGCCAAGCCATCATTTTTGTCTTAGTTTTTAATCATTTTAAAAGCGCAGTTTTGAAAGGCTTTACATTGTCATTTTCACAAATCAATGATAGTAGAGGGTGTTCCAATCAACCAGGGCATCACAACGCTGATCAAAATGTCACTGCGTTTTACTCGGTTGCTTTATTTGCAGACTGACATCAGCAATTACACAGAGTACTTCATTAGCCTCTCTGCCTGCTGTTGGAACATTTTACAACCTGGGAGGAGTCTGTGTCAGAGAGTAATGAGCCGCGGGACTCAAACTGGGCATGTGGTTTTTTTCTTCTCACAGAATAAAGAGTTGTGAGGGGAGCACCGTGTCCAACCCCTTTCCCTATACATACATCCGGCCAGAATGTCCAGTGATCCTCCTCCTCCGTACCCCGGGGGTCCCAGCGCCCCCCTCCTTGAGGAGAAGAATGGACAACCTGGTAATAAAACCAAGCACGCAGGATTGTGGTGAATGTTAACAGGCACAGATGCAGTGTGTGGCCACATTTAAATCATTGTGACTTGAATCAGATGTCACCATGGAGATTTTAATACTAGTCTCTGAGTTTGTTAAAACTTCTGATTTGCCATCCTATCAACTTAATACCTTTTTTCCCCTTTGTGTTATCTTTCATTTGCAGTTCCTTTGAGGAATGCTCCTATACAGGGACAGCCCTTACCTCCAGACTATGGCCCTCCACCCTATGAGGCCACAAACCCCGGCTTCCTGCCCCCCCATGTTCCTGGAGACGGACCCATGCCCATGCCCATGCCCATGCCCATGCCTCTACCCCAAGGTGCTGCAGACAGTTTGCTACATACAAAAACATTGTAAACACACTTGATGTAATGTTCAGCACAAATGAATCTGCATTTAATGAATTGAACATTCACTGATTCTCCAAGGTTACACTACAGCAAACTGTATCATCACATTTAAAGCTTTTTAAAGAATCATATCATACAGACATTTATCAGTACATTTTTCCCAAATCCACATGAACCACTATTCACATGAGCAAACATTAAATGCAGCTCTGACCTAATGAATGCTTGCCTCATACTCACAGTTGGAAAGAACACCATAAAGAAGTAGAACTTGTGTACATCTCAGCAAACTTTAAGGAAAACGATAAAGCCAACTTCACCAATCTGTTTAAACTAAATATTCCCTGGTCTAAAAAAGAAAAACTGCAGAATCTGTCAGCATGTTGATCCTTACTAAACCTCTTTGTAGCCGATAGGCTTCCAACAACTTTGCTGCAGAGTCATTATAAAACTGGAAATGGTTGTTTGGTCTTGGCATTATTACCATTGCACAATTATCAGGAAAATGCTGATGTAGTATATTAAGTGCTGCTTCCTCCTGTACAGGTGGCTCCTACCCGCCCGGTCACTTTCCGATGCCGGGACCCATGGGCCCTGGTCCCAGTCACTTTGTCCACATGGGGGGGCACACAGCCACCGTCCTGGCTCCTCCTGGAGCTGCCACCACTGTGACCGTCCTGCAGGGGGAGATGTTCCAGACCTCCCCGGTGCAGACTGTGTGTCCGCACTGTCAGCAGGCCATCGTCACCCGCATCTCCCACGATGTGGGCCTCATGAACACACTCTTCTGCCTGTTCTGCTTCTTTGTAGGGTGAGTAGAAGACTGATTAAAGGCACCTAAGAGCTCCTTTTTGTATCCTTGGAAGTCCTTTGTTGAATAGGTATTACTTAGGACTTATTTTGAAAGAGTGAAATAATGAAGGGATTTCATGGCTGTGCTAATGTTTGCCTTCTTGGTGTTTCAAATGAGTTTATTTTCAATCAAAAACATTGTAAAACATTACACTTATTCATATCATTGAGTCAGAACCTCAAGCTTGTCATTGGGTTTTATTAAAACCTAAATTGATAAACACTTTGATTTAAAGTATACAAAATTACTATGTGTCAGCAACTATGATTTTTTTCTAAATGTATCAATTGTTTTATTGTCTACAAAATGTCAGAAAATACTGAAAAATGCCCTTTCCATTTTCTAAAAGTCAAAGACAATGTTTTTTCCGGAAACCTCCATATGCTAGAAATACAGCATCTTCATGAACATCTAACAATTTATTGATTTTCAAAATAGTTCCCAATTTCCCCGTTGATCGACTCTGTGACTAACGTTGCTCAAACTCAGAATGATGCCTTTGAACTGTTACTTGTTCATTCTGCCTGTTCTCAGTAACCCGTCTATATGCAAAGCCAGTTTACCACTTTATGGTTTGGCACATGCAAATAACGTTTCTGTTCTAGACTAAATGTACAGACATCTGGTGGGGACAGTTTCACAATTCCTATTTTGTATTTTACGCACAGACCTGTATTTGAGTAGGATCCCTATAGTTTTTTATCTACACTTCATTTATAACATGTTTAACAGAAGCTGTCCTCATGAATGCAGAACATACACAGGCTATTACAGAGTTACTGAAGTTGCTCTTATCACAAGAGTTATGCTGAATCCTGCATGTTCAGCAAAAACATTTGATTTCATTTCATTGGATTGGACTTAACATCAACAATCATATGCAGGTGTCTTAATTTGCCATTCCCCCCCCCCCAGGTGTGATCTGGGCTGCTGCTTGATTCCCTGTCTGATTGACGACCTGAAGGATGTGACACACACCTGCCCGTACTGTAAGGGCTACATTTACACATTCAAGCGTATATGCTAACCACCGACAGCAGTATGCAACAGAGACGTACACACACACACACACACACACACACACACACACACACACACACACACACACACACACACACACACACACACACACACAGCTCCTCCTGCTGGTAGTAACAGGCTTTCCCCTCCATTTTTGCAAAGTGTTGTGAAGCCCTCTTAAATTGTAAGTGCAGTTTTCTCATTATTCACAGAGTATTTACTGTATATATATTTCAGCATAACTCTTTCATGTAAAAAACATGCATTTAAAATGTACAAATCTCACAGAAGATGTCGGACACTTAGATATCCGCAGAGGTGGATAAGCAGCAGGCCCATTGGTGCATCTGGTCCTGTATAGACACCTGAAGAAAAGGCTAGTGAAGTTACGCATGTGAATGGCAGAAGATACTGGATAGAAACGGTCAGTTAGTGAAAGCTGTGAAAACGGTCACTTTATTTATTAAATTAATCTGTGAATCTTGCTGAGAAGCAAACGTATTGAAGTCGAACATGCTGGGTTAGCTTTGTTATTTTTTTCCTGTATTTATTTCAGATATTTTATCCACTAGCTTAACATGTTAATATTGATAACTGTGAACATGTTTGTCTATGTCCGACCTTTGCTCTAACAAACCTAGTTTTTTCCTTTTAATCATTATCCCGTACTGAATGTGAGCAAACTAACGAACCATTTTAAACAGATGTATTTGCTTGTTTAGGAATGCCCAAGATTCATGTTACGTTCTATATTTAATAATCTTCTGGGCTTTCAGTCAGTAGTCACACGTATTTAGTGATTTACAGTCCTGCCCTCTGTCCATTATGTACTTATTTTGATAGTAAATCAAACATTTGCACTTTAAGTTGCCCTCTGATGCATTCATCCACCTCGTTAGTGTTTGGGAGATTTGAGGATTCACAGTGTCATCTCATGAATAAAAGCAGTGTAATATTTAGGTAGACTTTAAGTAGAGCCAACAAAAGAGGTGTACTGTTACTTAACGAGACACAGTGCATGGCATCTTGGCAATCTTACGTCCTCTCTATAAGACCATGTTGGCAAACAAATGACCGTGGTGGCACCATCATCATCACATGACATGTTTAGCCTGTAGCCCTCCTAGTAATGGCATCAGCCCTTTAAGATTACCTGCATTGTTCAGATGCATGTTAGAAAACAAATACAGAGGTATTTTGACTAATACTAAATAGTGAACATCTCTGTTAGGAATAAGCTTCTAATAAATGATTGTATCAGATATCCTGCAAAATAACAATGTGATTCCATAGAGATGACTAACAATGGAACATCCATTGTGTGCCCACCACAGCATGCTCAATCTGCCCACCACCTTCTCTCACAATGTGCAGTTTGTCTGCATGAGCCACACCTCAAAACAAAGAATTGTCACTGGCTAGTTCCTGGACTCTATGTGCATTGGATTCTTTTTCTTCTTCTTGAGGCTAGCTAAACTGTGCGAGAAAGTGAATTTTGATTTGAAGGATTGCATTGAACTTTTAATACAAAGTACTGTATGCCATTCTTGTGCATAATGCTGGTCTGCATTGCTCTCTAAATGTCTGTCATATGTATAACTATGTCAACATTTGTTTGACTGTTGTATACAGGTACTATTTTATCAATAAAAATCAGAACATAATGATTGATGAAACTCATTTTAATGTTGTTTGGAAAATGAACTATGTCTGCAAAGTAAAAAATGTATGGAAATCTCACCTGCAAACACAAAAACAAAATAAATGGGAATCATCAGAAGAATGCCCGAAACTACCAGAGCCTGTTCACAATAGATATAGGCTTAAAAAACGAAGTCTGAAGGTAGTATCTTTGCCAGATAAACATCATTTTTATATTAAATACAATTTCCAAAGTGCTAATCCTTCAGTCTCTCCATCTGTGTCCACACTGGGCTTGGCAGCATTTGTAGAAGGTCGTCATCGGTTCGTCAGCTGATCTGGTCTGAATCTGCATGAAATACGCCCGCAAATGCCCACACTTTGGACACGTTTCTGTAAAGTGATACAAGCAGAATGAAACATCAGTCTGGAATCACTCCAAACCCTAGAGTTACTGTAGCCATATTTGGTTTATGCTGTGTAAAAGAGAAGACAGGTTTGAGACGATAAAGTAAATCAAGATCGTCTCCAAATCTGTGAGCATGCACATTTGATTACAAATAACAGCATTTCCAATTGTAAGAGATGAATTGATGCTGAGATTTTACTAGAAATGTTATGTATTCAATTAAAGAAAAAACATAAAAACCCAGGCCACACGTATGAATGTCATGTGCTACAAAGAAAACAATCTATGAAAGAGTAAACATTGTCAGTGAGGACATGTGGGAATGACAGGTTTAAACAATAATAAAAAGCAAAGTCATTATGTCACAGAGAAAATGCAGGGTTGTTGAGGTGGCAGACAGACACAAATGTATCAAGACAACAGATTTAAGATTACTGGGCCGTATCTCATTTCAAAGATTTCCCCTCCTCGACTCCTCGGTCCTCCGGTAGTGACCCGGAAATGGATTTCAGCGTGCCATGTTGAAGGACATCTCATTTCTCTAAATGCACTTCGAGGACCGAGCATCGACGAGCATCGAGGATGCTCTCTGGAGGAGCTCTAACCGAGGAGACACTGATGGGTCCTCCACGGCTCCTCCGCGGATGCATTTCCGGGAACGGTGGAGGCGTGACGCACGGCCGGACTTATCTCAGCCAATGACAGCTCTGCATGCATCCCCTGGATATTATTTTATTAACTGCTTTCATCGCGACGCGATGTTTACAGTGAGAACAGCTGTGAGGTCCGTGCAGAAAGCAGAGCAGTGTGTATAATATATATCACTCAGTATAACAGGCCTACTCTCTTTATTTGCTTTAGTTTAGTAGATATCTACAAACAAAGAGTCGATATTTTTCTAAAACCATTTAGTGCTTCACATAATAAAAATACACAATGGCTGTAGCCTGATTATATGCTTTAGGAGCTGTAGGTGTGTGTTGTACAGTGCGTAGATGCAGCAGACAGACAGGTCTCAGTTGTTTTGGTGTCCTCTGCTTACTTTTAATACTTGTAAATAAAACTTTTGGCCCGTAATTTATTTCCCTCATTGCAGCGACCAGAGAGGGGGGGGGGGGATATATCCAGTCTCTGATTGTGTTACGTTATTATGAGAGTGCTCTCATACTTGTTTGATTCTGAAATTGTATATATTCATATAAATATATATAAATGTGTGTGTGTCCGCATCTGTAGCCTGTTATTGTCTCATTATACCGCACTGTGAATGAATCAAAGTAAATATTTAAGTGGTCATGAACACATCTGTCCATCAGACAGAGGGCTGCTGTGCCTCCTGTCATCATTAATGGACGTCTCCTTAAAATGACCGCTCAGAGGAGAGGAGTTCTCATTCCTCTAACCGCCTGCTGCTTCCCCTCCTCTCTCCTCGGCTCCTCCGCTCGCATCTCCTGTGGACTAAGACACGAGGATAGGAGTCGAGGAGAGGAATCTCAGAAATGAGAAAGGGCCTGGTCTCTGGAAAAATCATACACTAAAGCCTTAATACTTTGGATCGTTTTCATGTCACTTACCAGGAGTTGAGTCAACGTTTTCCCAAGCTGCAGCGCCACCAAGAACATCATCCACCTCTTTCAGCTTGGGAAAGTTCCTGTAATTTACCTGTCAAACACAGCCACGTGTGAGCCAGCAGTACCATCTTTATGAAAAAATAAATCTTAGTAAAGTGTGGTCAAATGTCATGCAACAATAAAATAAGGCCTTCTAGACTGTACAAGTATAACATAATAATTAGTATGGTAAGTTGAAAAAAGTCATGGTATAGTTTGTCGAAAATAAATAAAAAAACACATAGCAAAATATGCAAAAAAAGTATAGTATGTCACAAATGTGCAAAAAAACAACAACACAGTATAGTATGTCGCAAATATGCAAAAAATAAATAAACAGTATACATATAACATGTTTAAAATATTCAAATACAATCTGAAAAATCAACATAGTATGTCGAAAATATGCACACAAAAAGAGATAGTATAGTATTTCGAAAATTAAAAAATGTACAAATAAATTGGCACTATTACTTAAAAATAAATAAAAGGTAATTGTATGGTGTTTCGAGAAAAGTCACAGCATACTATGCCAAACATATTTTAAAATGTCACAGCATATTATGTTGAAAAAAGTCATGGCATAGTTTGTCGAAACTAAGAGAACAAGTCATTGTATACAGAATGACGAAAATACGAAAAAATGAATAGTTCAGTATGTCGAAAAATATGAGAAAAAGCCATAGTATAGTATGCAAACTAAAGTCTAAGGGTAGATTTGTCGAAAATATCTTAGTGGAGTATGTCGAGGAAAAGTTACATGACACGTTACTTCCAAGCTAGGAAGGTCTTTTGATTCAACTAATATTTGATAACTAGAAATGACATGATGTGTCGCGTGACATTTAATTCGAACATAACTCACCTTTCTTGTGATGTTGTGAACATACGGACAGGTGTTACAGGCGAATCTCATGCACTTCTGTCCTTCCTCGACAATTAAAACATTCCCGCAGGTTGGACAAAAGAGAAGCATGTTCCCCACACATAAATGTAGCTAAACACTAAACCAACAAACTCAATAAGTATGGTTTTGTACACAACTAGCTTACTGCTTTAGTGTCACTCACTTGTGTACACTGATGCATGTGGAGCAGCGGAAGTGAAGATGGTGCTACTCGTATTATCGCTCGTTTGGAAACGAAATATACAGATAATGAACGTGGCACTGAATTTATAATAATTAAACAACCACATCCCAAATAACTATCACTTTTGAAGAAACATTAATTTACATAAACATTTTGTCGTTTAATAAAACCGTTAAGAAGAGTCTGAATTTAAGTCCACTTAGGGGGAACCATTTGACCTGAGCTGCGGTTTCCTTACGGTATGTCATTTCAGCACACCGTTTGTTTATTTCATGGCTTTTTTGCAGCAAAAATAATTCAAATTTAACAATTTTTCAGCTGTCTTTGACAAATTGTAGTCCTTCGGTACATTTGATTTACCCTTACTTAGTTTTCTCATTTTATAGTTTTGCTATCCTGACAAACAGGCCTGTTGAATTATGTTTATGACGGAGGAGCAGAGTGAGGAAACTCCTGGAGGAGGACTGTCTGTAAAAGAAGAAGATGTGGAAAAAGAGAATGTGACCGAGATTGCAGCTTTAGACGAAGAAGAAGAGGAGGAAGACGAGGAGACTCTTCCTCACCCAGAGATCCTGGACATATTCGAGGAGGGTCTTGCTCAACTTGTTCAGGACCCTTTACTCTGTGATCTGCCAATTCAGGTCTGTGTGTTGTGTCTGTATTACAGGGCCGAGCACATACTTGTTGGGGGGCAGGTGCTCAAGTTCAATCAATCAATCAATGTTTATTTATATAGCCCAATATCACAAATGTTACATTTGTCTCAGTGGACTTCACATTTTGTACAGAATATCAGTATGACAATATGACACCCTCTGTCCTTAGACCCTCACATCGTACAAGGAAAAACTTCCAGAGAAAACCCCACAGTTTAATGGGGAAAATGGGAGAAACCTCAGGGAGAGCAACAGAGGAGGGATCCCTCTCCCAGGACAGACAGACGTGCAATAGATGCCGTGTGTAAATCGAAGAGATAATACATTTTACAGCATAGGTAGACCAAATGTTTGGAAATGCATGTGTCTATAATAAGAAGATGAATCCACGAGGATGTCAACAATCCTGTGGGAGCCATCAGGGAAGTAGTATGATGAGAGTCAGGCAGGACCGCAGGGACAGGTTCAGCCACGACTCGAAGTCCAGTACTCAAATCCAGAACTCAGGATAGAGGATCCAGGACCCAGGATCAGCCAAGACTCAGGATCAGGAAGTTGAGGATCAGGAAGTTGAGGGGGAACAGGGACCTTTAATTGGTCAAATTTACTTCCAAGTGTTTCCATTGAATGTCAAACCACACATTCTAAGAGTACACCCCTCAAATCATGTATTTCTGGAAGAGTGAAACATAAATACAATTTAATTGAGGTCAAAGTTTTTTATTTTTTTTATTTTCCAGGCCGACGTTTTTCCAGGTCATAGTGTCATATTCTTTTGATTATTGGGCAAACTTGTAAATTGTCTTTGAATTTTCTCCTGAAACCTGATCATCTTTATCTATAGGTAACTTTGGAGGAGGTTAATTCGCAGATCGCTTTGGAGTACGGCCAAGCCATGACAGTCAGGGTTGTAAAGGCTGACGGAGAGATTATGCGTAAGTGTTGAGTGTGTTTTGCTGAATTCTAAATATTACTTTGGTCAAAGTACTGAAAACTGTAGTTCAATATACACTATGTGTTTTTGACCACATAACAATAACTTTGTTTTTTAACATAACTCCACAAGTTGCATTTAAACATTTACTATGTCTGTCTTTTTATTAACCATCTACAAAATAAACGTTCCTCCCTTAGCGATAGTTGTGGTGCAAAATGCAACCGTCCTGGATCTGAAGAAGGCTATCCGCAGATTCATGGAGCTGAAACAACAGCGTGAAGGCGGAGTGAAACAAGTCAGCTGGTAAACATGCTCACAAACACAAAACCATAGAAGATATTTTAAATTAAGAAAAAAGCCAAACCAAAAGCCACTGTTTGCTCTCTTTGTTTTACAGGAGATATGTGTGGAGAACTTTTCTGTTAATATTTCAAGGGGAAAAGCTTGACGATGACAAGATGAGGCTTAAGGAGTAAGTGCATGAAATAATCCCCTCTGTCACGTGTTATCATCTGCACCGTTTGACTTTTTTTTTCTCTGTTCAGCTACGGGATCCGAAACCGGGATGAAGTGACGTTCATGAAGAGACTCAGGAAAAAGTGAAACGACCCACCCAACGCTTGAAATATCAGGCGAAAAACAAAGTTCCTGCAGTGTGTGCTGGGACCCCCTGCCAAGCAGACATCAAATGACTTTCACAAAGTTCTCATGACTTGCTTGAGGCAGTCGGGACATCTTAGTATAAAATGAGCACGCTTCTTGAAGAGGCTACATGTAAATACATCTTGAGTTGTGATTTTGTAAAGTTTTCTACAAACATTAAAACATATGAAAGTGTGTTGGTGTTTTACTTGCATGACAAAAAGGGCATTCTGTAACATTTTCCAGAGAGGTCAGCTGTGAACTGAGGATTTGAATATTTCCTGGTATGAGTAAACACTACCAGCCTTTGTTGACCTGGTTTGAATATTAACTGTACGAGAGACACTGGGAGCAGCTGATGAAATACGGTAACATTATTCTCTTTAATATAATATTATCTTCAACTGAGTTGTAATGTTATTAACTGTATGAAGGTATTAGTTGAAATGGTATATAGTGTAGTATTGAGTATAATGCATTTGATCTACTAATTATTATTATTTTACTTTTGCTTGCTCAAACCTGAATTAATCTTGTACATTTTTTTCTTTTCCTACCACCGTCTTGTTTTTTGAAGGAAAAGCAATGTTTGATCAATATTTAGTATATCTTATTAATTACCACTGCTTTTAAAATGCATTTAATAATAGCATTAATATGAAATGTAGTAGAGCTAACGGACACTGAGTTAGCAGTGTTTTTCAGTCAACCTTTGATCATAAGCAGTTTGTCTAATGTAAATGTATTCTGTATTATTGACATTCAGAGCTGCACAGCAACATTGTGTCAATGTTTTAGCAAATTTCTATTATTGGATATCAACTGCAGTCTTTGATTACAAACGTTTGGTCTGCTAACATTTTCATGGATGTGGTTCAATTGTCACATGGAAGATAAATAAGTAAAGGATACCTGAGGGAACATATTTTTCAAAATAGATCCTACGATTTATTAGATAATCAATATTTTCTAACTTGTTCTTTATTTTGAGAAGATGTCAGTGGACAAAAACTGGGTGACGGATGAATATATCTTAGGTATTACCATTGAGCATTCTCACTGCAAAACCTAAAACATTTCTGCTACATTTGGAGGAGTTTTGCACTTAAAATGTTTTAACCAAATATCAGTCCTTTGTTAAAAAAAGTCCAATAATTGCTCATGTCTCTTCAGCCTCCACCATGACTTTAGACAGCGAGCTGAACAAGATTTCCACAGAGCTCAAACACCTTTCACTCAAGAGACAACAACTTCTGGAGAGGAAAAAACTCCAGTGCATATTTCAGGAGTTGAAGAATCGTGTTCAACTTGAACAGCCAGGTGATGTATAAATGAGCATTAAAGAAATGTCTATAAGTATTTACAACAGGAGAATGAAGTGGCTATCTCACATATTCTGAATATTACATAATCAGCTATGCTCTCTCATGCGAGTCACTTTTTTTTATTTTCCTAGAGGAGGGTGACTCGTATCAGCATGAGATTGACAGCATTGATGACAAACTGAATCAACTGGCGGAGAGGAAGGCAGAGCTCCAGAAGAACCACGACAACATGGTCTACGGGAACGATGAGAAGAACAGCCTGAAAGGTGTGTCCAAATGTACTGCAGCACACCGTTTCTCCATCATACTTATTTTTTGTTCCTTTTCTTTGTTGTTAGAGATCACCTCCATCCAGAAGGATGTGACTGACGGTCCTGGAATTTTCTTTGTTGAGCACCCGGATTTTCCCGGTGAGTTAGTGAGGCTCTGATGCACATTTTTAACGGTTCAATTCAAGGCTTCTACAGAACTTGCACCCAGTCACTGTGTTGCTGTTATATCTACTGAGAATAATTGTCACCCCACTTCTGTCAGTAATCAGTGCAACATTTTCTTTAAAATATTCTTTATTTTTCAGCTTCATCAGTGAAAACTATGTGATCCATTTAAGTCTATTTGTTTTACCCCCCATGTGTTTAAGTCTTAAGAACAGTTGAAAAAAAGTTTTGTTTTAAAGGCCCTAAAAAAAGAATCAGTAAACAACATTTGTTGTTGGGTTTTTTTCAGGAAGGGAGGGGGTTTGCATGCAGAGATTAAAAGTCACCTGGTAAAAATATGAATTTAGCACATGTGGTAACACTTAAGCCATACTGTTGCTAAATTTCAAAGGCCTCTGTCAGCCAGTCAAATTGCAGTTTACATCCATGTCTGTCCAAAATATAATGACTTTCTACTATAGTAAAATGGTTTTGTGAGGTCACAGTGACCTCTGAGCCCCAAATTCTACTCACTTCATCAAGTTCCAAATTAAAGAGACATTTCTTCCTGACGTTCCTGAGATATAGTGTTTAAACCTGAAAACATGCTGTCAAATGCTGGAGAGAATTAACTCATGTCTTACTTCATGCACCTGCAACTTTGTCGCACTTGTGTCAGTAAATGTAACCAGAATCTGACCAGAATTATATCAGATAACTAATTAAATTACAATGTAAATTACTGACACTTAACTGGAGATTTTACTAGCTACCATTTTTCAGAATGTTCCCTCTAGAAGTTATAGAGAAATATTAAGTTTGATTTGTGTTGGAAAAACATAGATTAGTTGTTGTTTTGTTCTTCACAGCGCCTACAGTGATTCTGGACGTGGAGAAGCTTCCCCCCCGCCCCACCAGGACGCAGTGTCCTGAGTGTGAGCAGTTCATCATGACAGAGACGTTTACCTCCATCAGCAGCGTCACCTGGCTCATGTGTTTCATGACGGCTTTAATTGGGTATGAAACCATTCCCTTAATCCTGGTGACATATTGGCATGAGATGATTATTTAGCCTGTTATTATTGGTGCAGCCAGAGCCATGTTTCCAGGTCTGTTAACATTTTATTTTGTTCCTCATTTTGCAGTTGCATTGCTGGTTGTTGCCTCATTCCCTTCTGCATGGATAGATTCAAATCCACCACACACAGATGTCCAAAGTGTCGAACGTCAATCATAACTATTAAACAGATGTGAGAGAAAAGCAGCTGGTAAGAACTTGATCCTGAAAGAGTATCAGACTTAATAATGGAGATGTAGCATACAGCAGCACTTGCAGATTTGTTTGTGTTTACTATCATCATGAGCACCGAATGTGAGTGGTTGAAGAGGGACAAACTGGTGTCTGTATTTATCCTAGATTTCTGGATATTTTAGACAAGGACATTACATGACATCCATTTTTTCAAAGCAGACAAGCAGACCTCTAATTCAATAATTTTTAAATTATAATCTGCTTTTACAGGCTAATAAGTGAGTTTGTCTTTGGTGTTACCAGTTAATTAACGACACAAACATCTCATTATAGCACATAATCCTTTTAAAGAGTGACATTTGGATTGTCAGAAAAAGCACTATTGTTCTTATAGGATAACTATAAAAAAAGTGTCATCGTCATCAGTCCTTTTTACAACACCTTCCTCTAGTCTACATTCACATGAGTTTGTTAACAGTTATTCCGATAACCTTCAGAGGCAGACAGTGAATTCCTTTAGAATGCTACAGTGGTGCATCATGCTGTGTATATGGTTACTTTGATACTAAATGTTATTTTTTTTATGCGGGAGGTCACCAATTACGCAAAATCCACTTTTTCATGTGTTTTGTACATACACGTGTCATCTCTGTGTTAAGAGATTCGGAAAGCTTCGGGAAAAAAGATTCTCTCTCTTTTTGTCCTGATCCATTTATATAAAAACCTGTCTGAAAATCAGCTGATCAGATTTTGGCAACTTTGTGATGTGACAACTGTTTTATTGGTTGTGTAACCATTAGCCAATAACCAACCATGGTAACACCCACCTTATCACCTGAATCTCCTCCGAGAGCACCATTGTTTTTTTTTCAACCAATCACTTCGCAGAGAAGCGTGGCCAGCAGCAGCTCATGGCATTTAAAGGTACAGACACAGAATCGGCACTTTTTGAACAGGGCTGAAATAGAGGGGTTTATGGCATGCTACAATTATCTGTTAGGTATTTCGAGCCAAACACTTTGGAGACATGTTTTGTATAGATCTGGGACCTATAATATATTGTTTAAAAAGCATTTAATAGGGGACCTTTAATGAAAAGGAAAGCGGTCAGACCAGACCTTTCTGTCACAAAGGCTGGGTATGGCCAGCAGATGTCACTATAATACAGATCAACTGTATTGCTATTTTAGTGTGAGGTGAGTGAACAACCCAAATGAGCAGTGGTTCATACTGATGGATGTTGTTTCTCCTCTGTAGGATGAGTGTGTTGGTCTGTTGTTACATTGTAATGCTGCACAGAGATGAATAAACTACCTAAACAAAAACCAAGCAGGCATGTATGGAATCATTTTAACCCATGAAGAGTCGATGAATGGTCATTTTTATCAAGAGCACAGCAGATAATGAGGTCTCCTAATCAGTGTTTTGTTTTTTAATATCAAAGGCAGTGTGCAAAAATAACTTTTTTGTCCAGAAGCAAAAAGGCTAGTAAAATTGCAGATTTCAGTCCATATATCACTGGTGTTTTTGGACCTGTAGTTAATGCAAATCTACTGTAGCAATTTGCATATTTTACCAGTTTTTGGCAAATGATGTGCCCTGGGACTATTGGTTTTACAAAGAGTGTGCAGGATTTGGCTGATGCTAGAATTCGTGTCAGAACTGGTTGAGAAATTGAATTTCTTGCAGTAAATCCTGGGTTGATCGGGCTCATTTGACACTATGTTACCTCAGCGGGCTCATATCCTATCATTATCACATTCACACTCATATAAACATCTGATTTATGCTTCACATTTTACACTTACACAGGGGGCACATTGAGCAGGTGTGTGTTTACAATCTGTTTTGATAGTGAAAGACAGGGTGGAGTGAACAACATAACACCCCCCAGCTACATGCAGTGTTTGTCCTATCTTTAACCAGCATTAGGACATATCTCCTGCTTTTTCAGCTTTTACAACATTCAATTAAACGCTGTACATTCATTACGATCGGAGGACGAAAGGAAAGCAATAACAGTGGAATTATTTAAGATTGACATTTTAAAAGCTCCTTCCACTGTCATCTTAATCTGCCAGTACCAGTCCTACTTAATGTCAGTCTCCCATTACAATCAGAGGCTGTAAAGACCTCAAAGGAAGCAATGCAGGAACGTCTTAACTGATGCAGCACATATTCGATTATTACTGAGCTGATTATTATGGGGCAGAAAGCAAAACAGAGCTGCCCCCACCTCCAAAAAGCACTTATTTATCCACACAGGAAACTACCTCCCTTGCATAAAAAAAATCGTCTGATGGCTGCGTGAAATCTCCTCGGTCACTCCCAGTTTAAGTGCAGTTCATGTGAGTCCAGGAAGTCGGAGGAGAAGACGCCCACCGGCGCTGACATGTCCAAAGGGTTGACCCCCCCCGCGGGCACAGACAGGGTGAGGTCCAGCCAATCCATGTTGTCCATGTTGGTGCTCTGCAAGTGCAAAGCGGAGGGGGAGTCCACCTCCATGTTGACCACGGGGGACTGGGAGTGCAGCTCCTCCAGCAGAGTCAGAGTTTGGGGCTCCGTGTGAGCAGCCAGCAGGGTCTCCAGCTGGGGGTTGGAGGTCAGGACCGCCAAGCTGGCAGAGGGGTTGAGCTGCGCTGCAGGAAGCTGGGCTACCTGGACCACAGGGGGAGGGCGGGACAGAGCTGTGCTGATGGGTAGGGTGGTGACACTGGCTGTCACAGGGAGAGGCTTGTCCAGGCGGGGAGGGTCCTGTCTGATGAAGGGGGAGATCTCTGTGAACAAGGACACAAAGGGTCATGGTGAGAATCCAAAAAGCTAAAAAATACTTTATGTCCCAGTCCGTCCTAAAAAGAAAGGTTGCATTATTCTCACCACCGCTCTCGATTAACACATCAAACAAGTCATCCATCTGCTGGCTGGCTGCGCTGGGACCCTGCAGAGAAATAAGGAAGGTAAGTAAAGGTTTGAGTGGCCATAGAAACAATGTCAATGATATACTGTATTATACATTTGATTTATATATTAATGAAGCCTTCATTTAACCAGACAAGTCCCATTAAGATAACATGACTTCCAAATATTTTAGTTAGCATTGGACATTTATTGAAATCACATTATGGAACACTACTATTCAAATCGCAGGAGGCATAATTATTACATAAATGGTGGTTCTGCAAAGGTTTCTCAGCCTACAAAACTTACTCTAAATACTTTTTTTTCTTTTCTGAAAGATCCTGGCAAAAAAGACCATGTCATTGCATGATCATTTTCCAATATCTTTCAATACAAATTAGAATATATGTTCCAAAATGATATTTCCATTCAGTATCGTGAATCATCTGACAATTGCAATTTCAATACAAAAAAAAATCACAATTAAATATTTCTTTCAAATCACCCTTGACATTTTAAAACACAATAAAGTAAACACACAGTATTAACTACAGCATCATATGCCTAGGAGACCACACAGGAAGAAACTGCTCTAGCTAAGGAAGCAATTACACATTCCTATTGAATATTGTCACCTGAACAGCTGTTAGCATGCTGCGTGTCTGTTTTACAGCGTCCTCGTAGCGGGGCGGGTCTTTACACTTCGACACGTGGTCTGGCATGATCAACGCTGGCTGGCTGGTGCAGGGAGACTGTTAGAGAGGAGGAGACAACAGAGGCTCAGTCCAAATGAAAAGAGACAAAACATCATTCAAATGCACTTGCCGCTGTATCGATACGTAAATAAATCTGGAGTCATAATGTCCTTCATACAAATAGAGTAAGTACCTTATTAGTAGCATCCTTAGGACCAGCTTGGCTGGAGGAGGCTCCTACAGGAACACCACTGACTGGGAATGTTTCGAGTAAGCTTTGTGCTGCATTACCCATCATCCATGTCTGCAGGGACAGTGAGATAGGTCAGCATGGGGACACACATTATCCAATGAAATTATGCCATCAGATTCAGAATCAGAATTCAGTTTATTGCCAAGTAGATTTTCAAATATAAAGAAATTCCTTTGATGTATGATCATACAGAAACCCAAGAGGAAATAAAAGGTCAAATAAGGGCAAGATCGCAAAAAAAGGAGTGTTTTATGACATATGACTGCGAAAAAAATATGTATATCTGAATTAACAGTGAATGAGCTGTGCAGTTTTTGGCAAAATTGTGCATCACAACACCCACTATCTTTGTGGGAGCAACATACACTTCTGTTGTCGCAACCAAGCTGCTTTTGAGGGACAAAATTACGGGCAACCTAAATAAAGATTGCTCATCACTTCCAGGTTTTTAGCAATGTATCTTTGTTTTACTTTTCTTAGGTACCTCATCAGTTAAAGCCTCACCATCTTTCCCTCCACATACTGACAGCAGTGTGAGTGTTATCCCCAGCTAGCTTTGAGTTGCTAATTCTGTTGCTAATTCTGGCTGCTAGTATGGCTCAGAGCAGAGGGACGACAGAGGGCTTGCTGTCAGCCTCCACTCAGCGCCTGCTCCAGTTTCCACAAGCCTTGTTTTGATGTGAATAAGGAAGGGTTATTATTATGGGAACAAAAAAGATGCATTACCCATGAAAGATCATCAATAAAGTTAAAAAAACCTCTGATGTTTGATTAGCCGGAGCCATCATAAACACTGCTGCAGATGTGTGACGTGCAACCTAACTTGAATTAACTGCATGGAAAGCACACTTTATGATTTCAGGTGCACACACACACACGGATGATAACATACAACTCACACGTTTTCAAGAAATCGAAACCTAGCTTAAAATCACAGCTGATAGTGACGAGTAAAACAGAGACGGACCGAGGCTATGCGAGCACGCGTATGTTTTCTTACCTTTGTGGACGGCTGAGTCTGAGCGTTGCAGTGCTGTTGTAGCGCTGCTGAGGCCTCTATTTTCTGTGGCACCTGTCCAGACGTCTGGATGAGGCCTGGGGCCGCGCTGCTAACAGTAGTGTGTAATTGAATGCTGCTGGGAGGGAGCTGGATCGCGCCTGCTGAGGGAGGATGGGATGAAGCCAGGATGATCTGAGCCTGACCTCGCTGCACGCTTTCAGGCATCGTCTGGTTGATAAATTGATTCTGAGGACCCGCCTCCTCTTGTTTGACCAACACTGGAAGGCCAGGAGAAGCACAAGACACTGAGTAGTTTGACAAGTTTTCCTCTTTGACCTTGAAGGTAGCGAGAGGGCTGCGGTGAGGTGGAGAATCTCCCTGCTGACTCCTCTTCTCCACCTCCAGCTGCATCTTCAGCTCCTCCACCAGCCTCTGCTCCCGCTCCAGCTTCCGCATCAGCTCCTCAATCTGCCGCTGCTTCTCGTGGAGACGTTTGTCCTTCTCAGAGTCCTTAAAAAAGGGCCTCTTCTCAGTGGGACTCTCCTCCTGTGGAGCTCTGTGGGGGGAGGTCACACAGGGGGCTGCAGACAGAGCATCAGGAAGCCTGGTGGGGCTGTCCTCGATGCCCAGACTGGACACCTTGGAGGCTATAGGGGACACAGGCGGGGTTAACCTTATGTTTTCAGACTGTGAGGCTGTGGTCTCAGTGGCGGTCTGGGGGTTAGAGTTCTCCTGATACATCTTCAGCCTCTCTATTAGATCTGTCTTAGTCCCAGAAACAGGCAGAGAT